AGCTACAATAGAGACGATTGGTCAGTTAGGAGGATGAGGAGGTAGCAGCGGTGAAAAGTGGAGACGGAGGTGGGAGCACAGGAGGGTGAGAAGGTGGTGGTGGAGGAGGAGGAGGACGAAGAGTAGGTGAAGTGGAAGAGGGAGGCGGTGCAAACCAAAGCTCTGTGTGAGGCAGAGGGTGATGAAACGGATGCGGTGAGAGAGAACAGAGGGCTTGAAGGGGAGGTGGAGGAGGCGAGATGCATCCGGTGGACAAAAGCGAGATCATCCATGCCAAATAAAAGAGACATTGGTGTCATGGAAGTAAGTAGTGAGAATAACCCACCCATTCCTCCACTTTTCATCACCACGTGCAGACAATCAAGACAAAATCAACACAATTAGCATCATGGCGCAGCGGCACAAGTCACTGAGTTGACGACAATGAAAACGACGAATCGATGAAATGCTACAACATTATGAAAGGGCTCTTCCTTCACTTGCCTCACTCAGCTCACCCTCTTCCCGATTGTAACTCCCCGTCTTCCATATCATTCTCATCCTTCTGTACCGCATTGTGGCAGCCTCTCATTAGCACCACCACTGCTTCCCGTCCTTCGTTTGTCCTTTTCAAACACGAGCCTCGATTGGCATTGTTAGTCTATTGACGGTATCATTCATAGCACTGTGAGCGTGTTGCCGAGCCTCAGCATCTGTGGCAATAGCACGACCGTATAAGGCGAAATTGGGTGGGTGTGGGTGAGTCCTACATATCCACTAATGGAGGGCAAGTAGGAGGAGGAGGAGGAGAAGGTGGCACTTTTGTTGTTAATTTGTAAGCCGGTTAGTTGAAACTCTGGGAGTCTTTCAAACAGACACACTGGATAATTTTCATGTGTAATTAGTAAAGGTACAGCCTAGTAATGAGTTTTGGGTGGAGGGGAACTTCATGTGGAATGCAATGTAATAAAGGATCGATTGTGTCCAATTTCTCTCAGCGTCCTCTGGACGTTCCCTATGCCTGTCAGCAGTGATAGGAACACGGAGGAGGAGGAGGAGGATGAAGATGTAAGAACAACGGCTGACGAAGAGGGGCGTGAACAGGTGTGTTGTGTAATGCCCTTGACTAGTGTCGTGATGAGCATGTTAGTTGCCCTCGACCGCCATTCCTCCCAACAATAAATTCAGCCTACCTTCTTGTAAAGTCAACAGGTCGACCACACTGTGGGTGTCGACTTGAGATGTAACCGTAGAAAATAAATGCAATTTGATATGCCGTAGGACACTAAATTGGATTGTATGCAAGACTGCCTGTATGATGAATAGTTTGCAGCAGCTCCACTGCATGAGGCTCATCAGTATCGCCTTGTAGGTTGCTGCATTCGCATTGCAGTGTTTCAACATTCCATATAAATTGCAATCTTCTCCGGATGCCAAGCCTGGAGCCAGACTCGTGGGTTCTCACACAACAACACATTTCACTTCTGGCGAAATTGCCGCGTCTGCGAATGGAAGGGAGGTTGCAGCCTACAAGGCGTGGCGTTGTTGTATTTGAGTCAGCCTTAGCCAGTGCCATTCCGACAGGCATATAAAGCTGTACGTGCTCAACGAACAACCTGTCGAACGACACGGCAACGAAATAGGAATAAGGCAGGTCTCTGATTTCAGCAAAACTGGGCATTTGACGCCTCGCATGTGGATGCAAATGGGGAAGGCGCAGAATCAAATCTTCGTGACCTGAGCCAAAACACGGATATTCAAGGGATACAAACGAATTGCATTGCCTACTGTCGTGATAACCACTGCTGATTTCATATTCATTATCACCAATTTGCATCATTCGGCCATTCAGAATTATTTGCTGCAACGGATAATGCCCACTCCACTTCCACCCCAAAGTTGCATGCACGTCAGTCTGCAGAGCTGTGCCATTACCTCGAATTGTGCCCATAACACGACATGGAATTTGCATCAGTAAAACTCATCGTCGCTGATGGCTACAGCAGTGTTTGTGGCAATGTTGCATCCTAAAACGGAGCAATGAAGGAGATGAGACAATTGGCAGAATGAATTGGGAAGAGGCGAACGTGACTTGAGTGGTGCAAATTATAAACTACTTCTTTTTATTTTACAAAGGCATTAAAAGGGCGTTGAATGTAAGACACAAATGTTTCGATCCCTCAGTTCTTGGTTCGCCATCGCTTATTTACATGGTGTCCTACACATAAGCAGCAACCTGTCCGTTTTGTCAATATTTGCCTCCAAAACAATACCCACGAAGTGATGTTTGTGAGGTACAAGTTTGGTGATGCTTCATTCACATGACTGCCGGCAGGACAGTCAACACGAGAAGAATTTGAAGCATCACTTGACAAAGATGTACTTGCAGATCTACTCGCACAATGCCTGCATAGATCACGCGGAG